ATGCAGTCTTCAGTGAATACCCGTACTGTACGCCCACTACCTACTATTAGGTTGAAGCTCAATGAAGTACTAAAACGTCATTGTTTTAACAACATGCAGTGATCGAGCTCACCGAAAGCTTGAAATAATTGAACCAAAAAGCCGCAAACGAAATATAATACCCCTTTTTCCGCTTTTCTAAAGAACTAAAAGCATCCCGTTTCTAGTCCGTAGCGCATTGAAAAGAAGCTTAATCCACGCTGCTGTTGACGATGGTGGTTCCGACCGGCCACTTCCTTTTATCACAATCGCCAATGTTTTATTTGAGTCAGTGTCATAGGCGTACGCCGCGGATATAGGGGAATCCTGGGAGGGTTTAAAAAGTAGATATTAAGCATTCAAAATATCAGCTGAGGTCTACTAATGTGGCTGCTTTGAGTTGTGGCGGTTCGAATCCCGTCCAAATCAGTGGCGGATTATCAAGAATAGCAATAGTGGCAAACGCTATGTGCCCTGCGTATTTAACTGCCCCGCGCACCATCACTTTATGTAAGTATCCCTCCTGGGGGAGGGAGCACTGATAAATTGCCAAGCATATCATTTTCCTTGACACACCCTCCAAAATTTCCTTCAGGGTCCGCCCCTGGACCGCTTGACATAGTTTGGTACAGGCCACGCGGTGGCTTACTCCGGCACTGGACCCAAGAGAATTTTTCTCTGGTCTATGAATGTTGTGTTTGTCTATAGCTTGTGGAGGGTCTCAGACTGTCGAACGTGGAGGTACCACTCTGCGGATTTCTTAGGCGGAGACAAAATGCGGATGTCATGCACGCGTGTTCACTCGTTAGAGTCCGTGTGTCGTCCTCTTTCGAAAATTCTGTGAAAAACAACGCACAGTGGCAGAAGTCGAAACCTTTTTGAATAGGCATTTATACAGACCATAGGGCGTTCCACTAAAAAATATGTTTGTTGTGCCACGGACTGATGCAACATTCTGTATATTCCCTAATAATTCTAATCTATAAGACGTATATCTTGTTGCGCAAACCGTTTCCGAATATCTTATATAGCTCTTCTATTAAACAAGTTTCCACTTTCGTTGGGACATGCTGCATATTTTGCAAGTGTTCATGTGGATTTTATAATATTAAGTTCGCTGAATATACTGAGTGACAATGAAGGGAAACACCTACGTATGTTTATTAGAATTCAAGAATTATTTACGTATCGATGTATCTTACCATGAACAACAAGTGATTAAATGCCAGAGCGCATGTTGCCAAAGCATCGTTAGCCTTCATGGATCAACATAGCATCAACCGTTTACCTTGGCCACCACGTTCGCCTGACCTATCTCCAATTGAACATGTCTCACACCCTCCTCAGACTTTAGCAGCTCTTACTCACGAAGTTTCAGTAGCCTGGAATGAGATACTCCAACAGGATATCGACCACCTTACCAGCACGATGCCCAAGCGTGTCAATGAGTGTATAAGAAGTCGTGGATCCTCAACACATTATTGAACCACTTTTTCTGCCGTCAGTTGACGAATCAAACTGAAAATTCAATCATTTTACTAGTAAGGGACACTGAATATATACGCTAAAAATTAATAAAATGTGATAAACATACGTAGGTTTGTTTGTCACTCAGTATACAATTAAGATTATTTATTTTTCGTACGGCATGATTTTTAAACCGTGCTATGTGCTATACCGAGTGTTTCAAATTCGACACTCAGCATTTCAGTGGCGTGACTTTTTCTAAAGTGTTACCAAAACCAGATGTGAATGATCTTATTGAAAAAAGTTTATTTTGAACCTACCAAATATAAGTTTTTGCTTATTTTAGGTATTTTATTAAAATTTTTTTAATTAGTGTAAACATTGCTCAACTGGGCGTCTGGGGCACTTGATATACCTCATCGTGCTATGACTAATCCAAGCCTTCCAGTTGACGTTTCTAGATGTTCGGAAAATGTTTAATCTTTTTTGGCAATGAATGTTAACAATTCTCTATAATTTCCACTATTGTCAGAGTCATCCCCTTCAAAATGACCCCGAAATGGTAATTCATGTTATCTATAAGAGGGCTGCCTAAAAGCTTGGTTAGGACAACTTTCGATTCTTGTTTCGCCAAACTGAACCAAAGTGGCTATACATCTCACATGTAACGGAGAAATTTCATGTCTCCCCTTTAGAACCTTAAGACTATTTAAATCGTTGACTCCGCTGCTGGTTCACCCATTTTTTTCTGTAGCAAACAGAAGACATGGCCAACAATACAATGTTTTTCTTGCAGCCACATAACCAAGAGTTTTCACTATACCAACTTAATTTAAAGTATCGAACTACTTTTTGTATTCCTATTTAAAATTACCTAAAATAGGTGTTGGTCTTCATTTTCAATGATCTCCTTTTTTCTCTTCAAAATTATTTAAGAAGAATGACTTTTTAAGTAGTTGATCGATTACGCAGCGACATTTATCCGTTTAATTGCACGCACACTACAGCGGGTAACCAAAACGGCTACTTACGAGTGAGAAGTAACCAAAACAAAAAGTGGTAACAAGCCCACGTAATAGTCGTAGCGGCCCACGCACTCTGGCGACCGCGATCAAACACGAGCCGGCTCCGACGGTCCCCGAAGGACTATCAAGTGTATCCATAAACGAAAATGGTAACAACCGACAACCAAGTCATGGCGAGTCAGCTTCATCACATTTTACAAGATGACATAATTAGAATTTCAATATGACGCTTCGTCTTTTGCCTTCTGGCGTCAACTTTATTTTTTCTTATAGAAACCATATTTGATTATTTTTTTTTTATACTCAAAATACCACGAAGGCCTATGGCCTAAGCACCCATTGGGTACCGTGGGGCTATAGGGGGATACATAGGAAAGGGGAACGCCACACGGACTCTGGCGACGGAACACGTGTGCATGCAACATGCACACATTCTGGCTCCGCCTACGAGATCCGCCGGGTGGTACCTCCGCGTTCGACAGTCAGAGACCATCTACCATCTACGGACAATAACAACAGCCATAGCCAAGAGAAAAATTTCTCCTGGGCCGGGACTCGAACGCGCACAGCGCACGGCGACTGATCAGGAGACCGAAGAGTCTACTACTGCGGCCACCGCTGCTGCCTACACAGGTGAATGAATGAAGTTTATAATTCTGATTCCAAAAATGTAAATATGTCATACATTGATATTGCTAAACCATATTTATTTCAGAAAAACAGAATTTCCTAGGTAGGATTTGAAATAATAATATATATATATATTATTATTATTATTATTATGATAATTGAGATGAGCAGAGTACACAGTACTATAAGCTCATGCAGTAAATATAGTGTACGGACACGTAACACAAATACATCAAATAGAAAAAAATAAAAAAATATAGTCATTTGTTTCGTATACCAGACCAGGCTTCAAACTGAATATAGAAACATAGTTATCAAAACTAAGAAAAAGGGAAATAAGCAGTGAAAAACAGAGAATAGATTATAATCTGAATGCTTGTAAAATAACTTATTTGTGATTATTATTGTTATTCCCATCAATAAAATTTCATTTCGTAATCAGGTTTCACCATCTTTTCGTTTCCTTATAATTTTCATCATGGCAAACTAAGGAAATATTTCACTGAATTTAGGACTGAAAATCCGATTTAAGTGTACAAAAATTTCAATATAGCGTCCATACGAAAAAAAAACAAAGTTGGTGATCGAAATCAAAAGAAGAAACCTCGAATTGAAAATTTGACTAAACCATTTTGCAGAGGAGAAAAAGCGAGAGTGACAACATCTTATTTACTTCAAAATCTCATCTCAAGTAAAGTTAGGAAAAATAAAAAATGATTTTGCGATAAATCTGGTGTAAACAAATCTGATAAGCTCAAGTTCTACCTAGGAAATTCTGTTTTTTTAAATAACTAAGGCTTGGAAACGTCAACGTATATCATATTAAACATTTTTGGAATCAGAATTGAAAACACTACTCACCTGTGCAAATTCGATATGGCAAAAAAATAAAGCTGATGCTGAAAGACAAGAGATGAAATGTCATATTGAAATTTTAATTATGTTATCTTGTGGCAAAGTAGCAATGTTAAGATGCCATTTATTCTGAAATCCCACGATTTTGGGCAAATTCGGTTTTTTTCGTCTCTCTTCGGGAGTACTTTGACTTTCGAAACTTTCTAAGCAGCATTTTGCTTGCTATCTAAATACTCAATTTTGCTCACATCTAAGGAATTTGAAACAACCAGTAAAAGCGCATGGCTACTTATTGTGTAAACATGACCAATCGAGCCAGGCCATACCGAATGTTGCTTGCAACAATATTGCTGCGGAATAATGCAGTAAAAATATTGTCCACCGATATTAAAAGAAATCTGTACGCCAAAGTGTTTGAATTACCGCTACTTTGAAATTTCATAATGGACGACCGCAGCCGACTGGCCTGCCACTAGAAAACTGAAAACAAAATGTCGAGTGGTAGCCGAATAGAGAGAAATTAACTTGGCCAGTCTTTTATCCGATTCACATTCATCCAGCAGTTGCAGCAGCGTTTGTTTTTGTAAAAGGGGAAAAGGGACTCGTTGTTGAGTTTCCACGGAAAATCCGTTTCGAGTGCACTGACTGCGGCCGGCGGTCAGCATAGCGGCAGCGTTAATTTTAAAAAACAGTTTACATTCATTAAAAAAGGCATTCGTTGCGAGAGCGCGAACAAACAATTTCCGTTTTAAGTTTCCGATTCAGCTTTGGCCATAGGCGGGCGATATTTTTTGCCCTATCAGATTATTTTAACCGTAGCCGTCTCGTAGGCAGATGCCTAAATACCAGGGCACTCCAGCTACTATAAGGAGCTTAAAAAAGTTTGTTAACCCGATTTTTAAACTGCCTAAGCTTAGTAGAATTGAGAAAATTCCCATCCATCCATCCATATGTCAATATAGGTCTATATATTGTATTATACACTGTCCTTTTTGTTTTCTTGGACACCTCTTTTTTGTTGATAAAACCTTTACTCACCGCATAGTACAAGTTGTTTGCCTTTCCTATCCTTTCAAAAATTTCTATTTCATTTCTTCCGTTGGGTTCCAATACAGATCCCAGATATTTAAAGAAGTGCACCTGTTGTAATTTTACATTATCTATTCTTACGTCCATATTGAGTTTTGAAACGGCCATAACTTTAGTTTTAAGTTTATTTAGTTTCATAGCATTATCCTCAAGTACTTTATTCCAAATGTTCAAATTTTCCTGTAGACTCCCAACACTACCAGTTACCAACCCCAAATCATTTGCAAATGCGCACTCTCCTAATTCCACTTTTAGCAACTTCGTGTATCCAACAAAAATTGTTTTTGTTCTTTGCCTGCATTGTCTTATCAGACCATTCATAAATATTGGGTGGGCCATTTAAAAGTTTCGATTTAAAAATAAAATAAAACAAAAACGGTTTGAGATATTGCCAAATTTATTTTTTTGTTTTGAAGTACAATTGTTCCGCTCAGAAATGAAATATTACTTCATTCAAATGGCTGCCGCGGCTGGCCTCACAGTAGCCCATTCGATCGGACCAATTTTCGAGCACTTTTTCGAGTGTTTGGGGCCGTATCTCGTCAATGGCATCACGAATGTTGGCCTTCAAATGGTCAATTGTCTCTGGATGGTCGACATAACACTTGTCTTTAACAGCGCCCCACAGGAAATAGTCCAATGGTGTCAAATCGCAGCTTCTTGGCGGCCAATTGACATCACCATTTCGACTGATTAAACGGCCATCGAAGGTTTCGCGCAATAAGTTGATTGTGGCATGCGATGTGTGACAAGTTGCACCATCCTGCTGAAACCAAACATTCTCCACATCAATACCATCAAGAGCAGGAACAAAAAAATCAGTTATCATGGTGCGATAGGTGTTTCCATTGACAGAAACGGTTGCGCCGTCCCCGTCTTCAAAGAAATATGGGCCAATGATGCCTCCGCTCCACAATCCACACCAAACAGTCACTCGCAAGGGATGCATTGGCTTCTCTAAGACCTCGTGTGGGTTTTCCGAGCCCCAGATACGGCAATTTTGCTTATTGACGTAGCCACCAATATGAAAATGAGCTTCGTCTGAAAAGATTATTTTTTTCGCAAAATCGACATCATTGATTAGTTGCTCGTTGGCCCATGTAGCGAAGGCAGAACGAAGTGGATGGTCACGCGGCTTCAACTCTTGAACCAATTGAACTTTGTAAGGCGTCATACCGAGATCTTTCCGCAAAATTCGTCGTAAACTGGTGCGGGAAATGTTCAATTCTTGGGAACGATGACGTGTTGACGTTGATGGATTTTCACGCACACTCGCAGCCACAGCATCGATACCTTCGGGTGTACGCACTGTACGAGCACGCTGACGTGTTGGAGCATCAACAATGAAACCAGTTTCACGCACTTTATTAATAAACTTGCGTATACCGGGCGCTGTTGGTGCTTCGTTGCGACCGAATTTTGAACGGCATTTTCGTGCAATTTCTGCCCAATTGTCTTTGTTTTGGAAATAAATTTCCAATATTACCCAACGTTGCTCAAGCGTAAATCGATTCATTTCGTTCAGCGGAGATAATATACTGAATTTTATGACAAATCAGATTGACATAAGTATTGTCAGCGTCAAATTAACACGTGGTTCAAATCGAAACCGATAGATGGCCCACCCGTTACTATAAACAATAGGGGTCTAAGCCCTTCGCCTTGACGTACTCCCTCTATAGTAGCGAATTCTTCGGATATCATATTTCTGGATATTACTCGGTTGTTGTGGTATATACTCATGATCACTTCTACTAATTTTACAGGGACATTCTTTCTCAGCAAATTCTCTCTCTTTTTTCGTGGAACTCTATCAAAAGCTTTCTCCATATCCATGAAGGCAAGGTACATCGGTTTTCCTTATGGTAAAAATTTACTTATCAAGTTTTTAATAGTAACTATGTGATCCTGAGTGCTTCTTCCCTTTCTAAAGCCACTTTGTGTTTCAGACAATGTCGGCTCTATTAACTTTCTTAGTTTTTTCTCTATTATGTGTTCATAGGCCTTGAGTACTGTAGACAGCAGCGTTATTCCTCTGTAATTATTACAATATTTCTTGTTTCCTTTCTTGAAAAGTGGTAAAATCAGCCCTGTTGTCCACTGCTCGGGTATTATCTGTTGTCTATATGTTTTTGTGAAGAAAGAATGTAGTATTCTAACTCCAGTTTCATCCATGTTTTTCAACATTTCCCGTGTTATTTTATCAATTCCAGGTACCTTTCCATTTTTAAGTTTCTTCAATGTTCGTTGATATGTAAGAGGAAAAATTTTCGATCCAAGACCCATCCCTGCAGAGGGGCAATGGTGCACTATTGACTCTATACGAGTATGGTGAGACTATCATTTTGTATAGCTCATTTATATCTATATTGTGACCTTGTCAGAATACAGCCGTACAACATGCCAATCTCTCATATGCGTATAGAACACAAAAAATAGTGCCTAATACAATTTGGATAAAAAAAGGAAATCCAATTTTTTTATGTACCGATATGAGATACATGTCTGCCCATATAGCAAAATCCAGGGGGAGCATGTTTGGTTTACAGGTTGTGCAGGATCAAAAATGCTGAGAACTAACCAACCCGCTGGTGACAATTGAAGACGGGGGGTGCAACTATTGAAAATGGTAGCAGAAATAATATCTTTTATGTTGGGATGTTTTGAAGAGCCAAAAAAACTCACACGCCACTTCTTACCCAATGATTAGATATCTCATTAAGAATATTTCATTTTGAAGCAGAAGCCAGAGGGGGGGCGTGTGCCTCCCTTGACTCCCCCCCCCCCAAATGAGCGCCCAAGATGAGATAACTAAACGATTCGACCTCAAACGACACTTTTGGAAAGCATCTTCTGGTCAGGGTAAAGACAAGCTCAAGGTCAGTTTTAGTGAGATTCTGAAAAATCCCTTCAAGTAGATTATAAGTTTACAAAATGAGTAATCATATACCTGACACCTAATTATCATGATTATAGGTTTTTGGGGTGGCTGAGTCGAAATCTGAGGTTAGTATGTCTGTATCAGGTATGTAGGTTTCTGGGGCCGCTGTGTCCAAATCTAAAGTCGGTTTGTTATTGTGAAGCATTGGAAAGCTCAAGGGCGAGCTGAAAAAGCATAGTTATACCTCCAAATAACCTGATACCATAATGATCTCACATTCAGACTCGGCTCCTCAAAAACTGTCTAAAAGTCCGGCAGACTTCATTTCCCGGCATTTTCAGATTGTACTTGAAATGACCTTGAAATCATGTCGAGACTACCTTCAGATGACCTGATACAGATAGACTGACCTCAGATTCAGAGTCAACAACCCCAAAACCATACGTGCTGGTCTAAGAGACTTGATTTTCTGGCACTTTCTCAATTTGAGCAGGAAGTAGCCCCAAAACGTCATTCAAATGACCTGATACGAACAAACTGACTTCAGATTCGGACTCAATGAACCCAAAAGCCTACGTACAGATTTAATAGATTTGTCTCAATTTGAACCTTAAATGCCCTCGCAGCGCTCTTTAAACGACCTGATATGCACATAGTGACCTCAGATTCGGTCTAGCCTACGTACCTGTCTGCTAGATTTGATTTCCTGGCATTATCTTAATTCGCCCTTGAAATGTCGTCAAAACAGGCGCAGATCCACGGAGTGAGCAACGGTGCCATTCTCCCCCGCCCCCCCAAGGCCTCAGATTTGCAGGAAAAAATGAGACCACATTATTATTTGCTTCAAAACTTGGAATAAATGTGCATTCTGATCTTACACTGGTGTTTATTGTCTCCATTCTTATAAAAAGCGCAAACGGCTTGACAGTACCCCGGAGAGTAGGCCACCCACACTAATTGCTTCCCCCAAGACGAGATCCAGGATCCACGCCTGGCTCGAAATGCAGTTCAATTGACCTGATGTTGGCAAAATGATTTCTGATTAGGACTTCGCGACTGCAAAAACATATAGGCATGACAGCTAAGCCCGAGATACTAGAACCTAATTAATTATTTCATAAACTTACGACATACTGAATTGCCTTTTCGGAATTCCACATAAAACTGACCTTCAGCCCGATCAGGAGGAGGCTTCTGTGAGCGCCTTTTGTGAACAAATCTTTGTTCTTATACTAATTAAAATTCGGATTCTCTTTTTTTGTTTAAAATTGAATTCTGCCGAAAACTGGGATTATGGGCCCTCCTTTTTGGCAGCGAGTAACTTCTTCGAGCTTTACTTAACGCAACGTCGATAACATTCTCTTCAACATCTGAGTTTTAAATAGTATCGTTTATTGTATTGTTGAGAGAACAGTACAACACACACACACAATAGCTAAGCACTAGAAGATAAAACATTGAACAGTTTTGAGCATTAAAATCTTAACTCAGCTACGAGTATGCTTCACAACATGGTCCGGGCTTTTTTCAGCTCACCTTACGGATCCTGCTGTATTACAATAACACATTATCGTATGTAAATGAACTCTAGATTCCGGACAATAGCTGTGACATTGAAGCAAAGTCACATAACTGTCTTCTGTTATTGGTAATAGATATTTTTACATTTTTGTCAAAGGAGCGGTTCAGAAGCAACACTGTCTATTTGTTAAATTAATGGTTTGGCAAACACTAGTTCTATACGTGTGTACATACTCAGGTATGTGTATACATTATTTCGAGAACTTTTAATTTGCATAATATATATTAAATACAATAATTATTGAAGACACTACTTATGTACTTATGAACATGTTCGCACCCATAGATATCGTGACAATATTCATTGGTTTTCTGTCTTAAAGAACCATTTAATTAGACTTATGCACATCACACAGCGGAGTAATCCGTTTTACGAAGCAGATTTCAAAAAACAGGATTCAGGAACCGCAGGATTATTATAAATATATATAAAAAACCGACAAAATGTCAACCTTCTAACTAGATAGCTCCTGGTATAAATATTTGCTAATAAAAATGGAAACAAAACAAATGCAAAAAATATACAGGGTGTTAGTTAAGTATGTACCATAAATGTTTATGTAACAACAACAAACACTAAATAACATTAAAATGATTAGTAATAAAAAAATAATTTCTAAAACAGACCTTTCTCCATATCCCTTGTGTGGGCCAGAGATATGCAATTAAGTGGAATCTTCTTCTAGAAAACTAAGCAAGATACGAACAAAAATGTATTTCTATTTGCTTGATCCAAAGAACATAATAAAAATTGCACAAAGGCCAGTGGCGTACATTTATTTGTCACAAATATTCGTTAGGACCCCGTTCGAGATGCCACTGGACTTGGGAATAAATTTAGGGTTAAATGAGCTCCTTGATGTTATAA